CGTAAATGCTTATTGCACTTTGTTAAAAGTTTGAAGTTTGCTGGTTTTCAAAACGATGCAATGACAAAATATGGGTTTCGCGTTTGTTTGATAGCGACAATTAATTTTGGCGTTTGATTGATGTCTCGCTCGGTCAAGAAACCACTTTGGTCGATTTACTCGACCAAGAATCTTGCTCGGTTAATCGAAAAATTTGATCGATCAATTGCACCACTACTGACAACATTTTAATGAATAGATCTACCGGTCCGAGATTCTCCATTGAGAGATAATAAAAACGGGGAAATTATGAATTCCTAAGCTTGAGACATAGGCAAAGTCAGTCCGCTGGTCCGGTATTCTTCAATCTTACCTACAAGCGTCGTCCGATTTTAAGATTGTCTGGCTCGCCATCGTGACCGGTCACTGAACCTGCGCGCATTCGCGTCATAAAAAAATGCGGCATCGTGTGAGCAAAGACCGTCTCTGTGGGAGTAACGGCGTTGCGAAGTATAGGACTACGGAATAGAGGAGGAGATTATTGATTTTTTGAGGGTTTAAGATACTATCGGGGATTTAAGGCAACACCAGAGGACAAAAACTCGGAAGCGCATTTCAGAATTTTGATCAGAGCTTTCTGTTAAGCACGCGTTGGTGCAGGCAAGTCTGTGTAAATTGAAATAAAGTGTTCGCGTTTCATTGGATGGGTGGAAGTAATTATACCTACTTGGATGGCTGATAGTAAATTATACCTACATCTACTTGGATGGCTGATAGTAAATTATACCTACATCTACTTGGATGGGTGATAGTAAATTATACCTACGGTGTATGTTGTAGCTTTCTGTTCAAGACTGGCAGATTTTCAGTGTCACTGCATCTTGCCCTACCACAGTTGTTACAACTCTCACAGTCACAGTGCATGGGTCTACTTGAGCCTTTCAAGTTATTCCTCTTCTCTGAGTTTGAGCAATAATTTGAGTCTGTTAGTTCATGAAGGAATCATGACACCCAGACTGGTTCTTGATAGTCGAAATTCTTGTTTTAGGCCCTTCTGAACTCTCAAAGCAGGATTTATTTTTTATATAATAATAATGAGAGGAAAATATTATACATGTAATAGACTGAAATACTTAAGTAAAACAAGTAATTCTGGTTGGTCGACCATCAATGATTTATTTATAGAGGCACCAGCCATCCATGTCCAGGTGCTGTTTTAGCCTAGTGGTTGGTCGGTCAGTTGTGGGGAATACACATTTTCACCTGAAAATACACATTTTCATATTTCCCAATACTCATTTCGGTTTTCTGTGGTTGGCATCTCTGTGTTTATATAGGTTTTCCTTTTTGTTCATTAGCAAAATCTGCCAGTAAGCGAGACTGGCGGTATATATATTGGGGGGTGGTATATCGAGATTTGACTATGTGTTATGACACTTTAGAATCAGCATTTGTCAATTAAAAAAAAAATTTTGATATAGTGTAATTGGTATCATCTTTAAATTTGTACATTTTTCTTGCTTTGGGTAGAAAAAGATATAATCCTCTATCCTGAATGGAAGGTGAGATATCTATTTAATGAGGTGGGGGTCACCTGGTGTCTTAGTGAAATTAGCGAGAAAATGGCCACCAAAGCTTGATTTCCAATTTCAAAGCTTGAGTGGGTTTGGAAACTTGTTAATTTATTATTTTTGTGTGACTTTGATCAACATTTTTCAGCAAAATCCACACAGAAATGTATTTTTAAATGAACATAAAAGGTGTTGAGCTCCCCAAAAAATTCATACAAATTGCCCAGTGGGTGAAAAATGTCTGTTGCTTCGATTTCATTGATGAGACACTGATTTTACCATAATGACACATGTTTAGTTCAATATTAAAACCCAGTTTGCTCTTCTGTTTTTCTTGAATTGCTAAAAAGATTACAAACCAGTCTAATTCTTTAAAAAGCTGTACCCTCTGTCTTCGCTGACTGGTCATAGATGCATAAAAACTGTCTCAATTTTTTTCACAGTTCTTGGCCCTTGGCACTCACTGGGGAATGATTCACATCCTTGACCATATTGGAAACAACATTCGGGATAAAGAAGTGACAGCTGTCAGTTCCAGGATATTTTAAAAAAAAGTTTTGTTTACTGTGCACCCATTTGAATGTCCTCTTCATCATATTTCTGTACTTTTGATTTAGGGGAAATAAAGGACATGTGTCCTTTTTGTTGAGTGTTGCATTGTCATCGGCTAGTTTTAAATTTTACTCTGTCATGAAAGGAATCATGTATTTTATAATCTGGTACATGTGCTGATTCATAATTACAGGAACGTTTTTATATGTTTCCGTTTGAGTAGTTCATAAGGCAACAGTCTTTTGTATGTGGGTGGTTGGCGGGTTCTCTGGTATGGTTTGCTTCTTCTTTCCTTTCAAACATCTATCGTCCTTATCTCCCCTTCTTCTTTTTTTGTTTGTTACTCTCTTGTAACAGCTCTAATCTTCTTGCGCTCATATGACCTTGTGCAGTTGCCTTTTTAGTTTTTTAGTTTAGTATAGGGTTTTACGGCGCTCGCAACTGCATAAGGTCATATGAGCGGTGCAGTTGCGAGCACCGTAAAACCTCTACTAAAAGTAAACTAAGTGTTTTGTATGTGGAGAGTTTCAGTATAAACAAGCAAATGTATCAAGAGGAAAGCATTAATTGGGTTTCCCCTTTTGCAGATTTTCATTTTTAAGAGAGTGTTTTGTTGTTGTTATTCATGGTTTTATCTTTTTCCAGCATACAACCACAGTAAATCAGATCAGCATTGATGACAATGGTGATTATATGGCAAGCTGTTCTGATGATGGAAGGGTAAGTGTTATGTCAGATACTTTAGCAGCATGAAAAAGTTGTTATATGTCAATTGAAAAAACTTACATTCTTTAGGGAAATCTGTTCCTTTGCTTGAGCATATTTCATTAAAGACCATGGCAGTTTTGTGGAGAAAAAAAAAGTTGCAGAAGAATTGAAAAGAACCTGGAAAATTTTGACTGTTACAAAATGTCTAAAATTAGTCCATATCTTTTGGGAAATTTGACAATACCAAGTAGTGAAATTTATGCCATGGTGTCAAACAGGCAAGACGTATTTCTTGTTAAAATTGCATAAAATGATATTAAGTAGTTGTCTAAACCCAAATTCTTTCCCACTACTTTCTAGTCCCTTTTTCTTTTCTTTTTTTGAACTCTAATTGTCATCATTATACTATTGCTCTAATTTTGCTAACCATTCTAAAGAACAAAAAATGCCTGTTAGTTGTTACCGTGTAATGCCTTCAGTTTTGTCTTACCTGAGAAGAATTAAAATAAGATCCCAACTGATACTGATTTGATGCACTATAGTTCTTCAAGTATTTTTATGCTACTGTGTATATTTTGCTTGCTTTGTGCCCATTTCAGGTGATAATTACTGGACTCTATGCCACTGAAAATAACCAGTTGGTTACATTTGATCGACCTGTTAAAGCAATAGCCTTGGACCCATACTATTACAAACCAGGGACGGGTCGACAGTATGTCACCGGAGAGGACAAGGTATGTTTACAACAACATGTCTTTTTCAAAGGGCTGAAAACTGCTTTTTGAGCAGTCTGGAAATTTATCTATGCAACTCAAATTGATGTTTTAGCTCAAGATTATGTAAATAATTGTACTTTTTAAAATGTGGTTTGACTTTTATTACTGATCAAACCCTGCGTTTTTCAAATTAATAAATTGATTTTGTTGTCCTGTCTGCCAGTTGTTATTGGGAGAAGTATTTCAGTGTGCCTTGGATTTCTTTTAATTGCCTATTAAGAATTGAAAAGAGGTATCTACATGATAGCCAGAAGATAAGCCTGAGAAATGTCTTGATTTATAGAACAAGTTCTTTTAGTTTTTGTTGTCAGAAACATTTTATTTACCTTCCATTCAAACACGAGCCATCCTTGTCCTGGTTTTTTATGTTTTTGAAATGTTATAATCCCGCATTTTCCTTGCTCCCAAACACAGGGATCCTAGGCGGAGAATACTGTATTACGTTAGGACGGGGGTAATGTAGTGACTTACTGACATAGCACCTGTGCACTCAATAATAATATAACTGCAATAACTTAACAGGACTACTTTGTGCCCATGAGTAATGAGGGTACATAAGGTGGGTATGGGTATTAAACAGTTTTGTATTCGTTCACCAAACTGGCTTATTTTTTTAGTCTCAACAATACTTTCATTAAGGAGATGTAGCTACACTCAGAGCCAGTTTTCAGTTTCAGTAGTTTTTAAGCATTGTTAAAAAAAAATATTTGATGTTTCCAGAGAAACATTGATATTGGGTACATTTTTGTCAAATTACATAATTAATTGTATGTTCTGTGATCTATTCAAAGGTCAGAACAAGCTTATTTTATAATAAATGCAAAGAACTCTCTGGAACAAAATGTTCTTACCTGAGAAAGTGAGAATTTTGCATACAGCCTGATGCAGCTAATATCTTGTGTTGTGTCCTGACAAGAAAGATTTTGCTACCAATCAAAGTTTTTGAATAGGAACAATTTCCAAACCCATTATTTGATTATCCAAAAGCAGTGCATTTTGTTCTTTGTAATTTTTTTCTGAAAGTTTAACAATTTTTGAACCCCAAAGCGTCTGACAGAATAAAGGCATTAATGTTTACATTATGGTGTAAAAGTTTCATAGTGTGTGATTTAAACTTTTGTGAGATACAGTGTTTTTAATAAAAAATATGCCATGGCGAAAACTGAGAAAACTGAAGAAAAAAAAAAGAAAAGAAAATGTCCATGCACAAAGTCAGTTTTTGCTATTTATGAAAAAGGTTCTTAATATTTTGGTCTAGGGTTTCCAATTATACTTTAAATGGCTTGCTGATCAATGAATGGCTGAGATCACAGTGACACCAAGACTTTCACTCTTTGGGAGAACTTGTTGCTAAGGCTCAAATTTCAGTTATTTTCTGAGTGCTCACAAATAATATACATTCACACTGTTTATGTCCACTTTCATGCAAACATTGGAAATTGATTCCTCATACAATTTCGCATCAGAATTGATTTTTAAAAAATTCTCTGATGTTCTATCTCCAGACAAGTAAATTTTTTGGGTGTCTTTCTGTTGGATTGCCTTAAAAGATATGCAAATTGTGCTTTACTTGTAACAGTACATAACCTATTAGAATTTTCACTAGACCCGGAGAATACATATATATAATTTTTTGAATATTTATATAAATTTCTAGAACTTTTATTGGAGAATGTTCAGTTTCTCTTTCTATGGGTGGTAGATTCCAGCTCTGGTGTTGTCTGCCATTTTCCTTTCAGTGTTGCTACTGTCCTAGTCTGTTCAAAATGACATGTGGACCAATGAAACTCAACTATTTTCCTGTTCCAGCTAATTTTGAATGAAAAAAGTGGCTTCTTAGGCCGTCACAAGATGGTTGTGTTGCATCAAGGTGAGGGAGCCATCCGCAATATCAAGTGGGGTGGAGACTTCATTGCATGGGCCAGTGATAAGGTATGTTGTGATATCAGTAACTGAACAAAGCAAATGGAAAGATAATGGAAGTCAAATATCCACAGCTGTCAAAATGAACATTTGTCTGTGCAATTTGACTCTGGACAATTAACCATTCATTTCTAAGTTCTTTTCAAAGTTATCATGTATAATGGATTGTCATCCCTCCCTGAATGTTCCTTTTTGTCATTCCCTGAATATGCTATATAGGTCTTGATATTCCTCTTTTCCTTATACAGTGGATGTCGCATTCTACGAGGTCGCATTCAACGAGAAGTCAGCTCCAAAGAGGCAATTCTTAATCCCTGATTTTTTCCGCTATATATATTTGTAAATGTACATCAGCTCCAACGAAGTCGCTTTCAACGAGGTCGCGATAACTAAATAAAAAGCAATTAATAGCCCCAAAAGTGAAGAATTGTTCTCCTTTCTCTCCATCTCACGCAAAGAACAAGGCCCATCCTCCATTCCTAACACATTGTATAGCTAGATCTAGTGTGCCTCGTGATATAGGGCCCCAAAGCCAAGAGGATGGGCGAGGGTTGGCTGCCTACGGCAGGGATTGGAGGGGGTGGGTGGGAACGCGATACACGCTGTGTGAAACTGGATGAACTCTGGGTGGGTAGGTCCAGATCGAGACCTTCATTTTTTTTCAATTTTCTTTTCTTCCCCTGATCAGGAAATCAATGCTCCTGCCTTTACTTAGATATCTAGATCTAGGCCTAGATGTGAGAGGCTATATTTCCACACGAGAAATGTTCCAGGAAAAAAGATATTTAAAAATGCAGAAATGACAGTGAGAACACAGCTCAGACATGCACACACTGATGTTGTTAGAGAATTTCGTCATCAGGGGGAACTACTGTTTTAATTACTGGTATTGGTATACCATGTAATATAATAATAACTTGTCTCCTTTCTTTTGTTTAGCATTAGTCATGTTCAATGAGAGGTCGGATTCAACGAGGACAACAAGCCGGTCCCGGCAACCTCATTGAATGCGACACCCACTATACCTACTTGATCACTGGTCCCCCGAGCTCCCTTGAGTTCGTTGATTGAGTTTCACCACTGCACACCAATTTCTGCTGTCAGTATATTTAGAATGGTAAAAGTAATCCATACTCAGAGGTGCACTTGGGTACCCTTGGATTAAGATTGAAACCTCCTGGTTTCATGCTTTTCAACCTGTTTTCATGTTGTAGAGGTGGAGAAGTCTTTTTTAACACTTTGCGGTCACTTCGCTCAATAATACAATGGTGAAAATTGTCCGTTCTGGTCATCGTTGCAGTTTCTCTCGTGGCTGGGTGACCAGATTGAGAATTTTGTACTGCTGGATGTGTGACTGCAAAGTGTTAACTGTTCCCTCTTGAAGTGTTGAGTGTAGTCTAAGTTAGAGGTTGAGTAACGAAGTTGAAAGCTAAGCAAAGGACTAGTTCATTTGTTTGGTAATAGATTTCAATTTGTGCTCTATTTTATTTTGATGATACCTATCAAATCGATACCAGTCTGTTGTTTTTAAAGAGATTAAATCATCAGATCGTGCTCTTGTGTATGGGATCCCCCAAGGCTCAGTCCTCGGTCTAGTTTTGTTCACCATTTATAATCAATCACTTGTGAAGGGAATAGTTAAATATGACTTAAAATATTATTTCTATGCTGATGATACCCAATTTTATGGTTCAACAATATTTACTAACTTGGATGAACTTTTCTATCGTGCTGAAAATTGTATTGTATCAGTGAAAAACTGGATGAACAAAAACAAATTAATGTTGAATATTGATAAAACAGAAGTCATTCTGGCAGGCAGTGCAAAGTCTATTAATAAGGTTAACAAAGATCACATGAAAAGTTGGTGATGCGTAAATTGCATTTTCCAGAAAAGTTTAGAATCTTGGTATCTATTTTGATTCCAGTTTGTCAGTGTCGGCTGAGGTTAATCCATCTAATCAATGCTAAGTATACTGCTTTATAATTAGTAAATAGTATAGTTTTACCAAGACTTGATTATTGTAACTCCTTGTTATCAGGAATAATATCACTGGACAAAGTGAAAAGACTTCAAATCTACACCTTTAGTCTTACAGGAATGAGAGTGAGACTCTGCTACATCTCTTTTACCTCTCTGGCTTCCTTTTGAGAAAAGAATTTTATATAAATTGGCCACTCTATGTCACAAATACTTGAATAATAATGTGCCATCAGATTTATCAAGTCCGTTGAAACTGTACATTCCAATTCGCAGTTTAAGGTCATCTTCTTTTATCATTTATGAAACTTTACATGATAGTGACAGGGCATTTGAATATCAAAGCCCCAAAATCTGGAATGCTTTGCTCAGTACTTTAAGAGAGATCAAATCCTTTAATTCATCCGATTGTCAGCTAAAGTCATTTCTGTTCTTAAAGAATCAATGAGATTAATATTTACTGTTTGTATGTTACAGTTGCATTGTAAAGCGCTCAGAGCATGTGTACTTTAATCGGGGTTGAGTGCAATATAAATGACTTAAATGATTTTTTGTATTTTATTATTATTTTTTTAGTGTGCTGATTTTATAAAAGTGTCTAAGGTTGGAAACAATTCTAACAGCATTGTCTTATTTTCTTGTACTCTAGTTGGGATATTTTGTCTATTTCATTTCCATTGTTTTCACAGGGTGTGAAAGTGTTTGACATGAGTACCAGGTCAAAAATCACCAAAATTGACAAAGATCATGAGTAAGTTCAAATTCCATTTGTTTTTGCCCACACTTTTCTTTAAAAAACATTTAATCCAATTTGTTTCCAGGATTTTGTTATTCTTAAAATCTAAAGAACAATTTGCCACTAAGTTGTTATCAAACTGGAAGTTATATGGTTAGTACAGTGGGTCTCAAGACTTAAAACAGTTTACTGCAAAGTGTGTGGCTTTTGCTCAAAGTACTATGTGTCCACCTAGCTGCCTTTCTCAACTAATTCATTCTATTTTATATACACAGTTATAAAGACACTGAATTTCAATAGAGAAAGTTGGGTGAAGACTGATTTTTGTTGTTTACTGCTTGGAGACTTTTATTACACTAACTTACAGTGAGTAGTGACTACATCTCAAGATTAATATTAATTTGTTACCAGGGGACAGCACCCAAACAAACATAGATAAGGTCAAACAAGTGATGAGAAAAGAGATGCATCACTGTCTTATGAGTGTTTTATACACATGTTGCCATGGGCCCACGAGAAATTCTAAGTTGAATCTTTCAGTGGTGCACTTCCATATTTTATAAAATCTAAAATATTAAACCAACTGTTCTGTTACCTCTGTTTTTTTTGTTGATTTTGAGCTTTTGCAGCTTTTCTTTATCAGATAAAAATAATTTATTACATGAGTTATGGTGTTAGATCACGATTTATCCTACGAGCGAAATTGCCAAGTTGTAATCCCCCAGGGCAGTGCCATTGACTCAAGGTGTCTTTAGGCCATTCCTAAAGGAAGGACAGGGTGGCCAGGGAAGTCGGAAAGTCGTAAATTTTTGTTTAGGTCAGATAAGTCGGATTTTTGTTGGAAAAATTTTGTTCCGACGGAAATGGTTGATAAACGTCGGCAATAAAAGGAAATTTGAGGAAATCTGTAAGTTGCCTCGGGAAAGACCCGGGAAAATACATAAAAGTTCTAGAATATTTGAAAACCAAATCCGATAACGTCCCTAAGTTCATTTTGTCGGTCGCGATCATTCAGCTTTTTCCCAGTCTAAGAGTACGTTTCATGCGACCAGGCGGCTATGGCGGCAAGCGGAAGTGTACGAGTGATGCCGAGGCTCGAACGGGAAAATCTAGATCTACTTTCGCTTTCACTACCGCCCTGAAATTTGCCGGTAAAAGTCTGATAACACAACATTGTTGTAACATGCAGTTTGTGCATTACAAAGGCTGAGTCGCTATGAAAATAAATCAATATTTGTCTCTTGTGTAAAAAGAAAAGAAAGTTATACAAGCGTCTTGTCGGGCTCGCCGTCATGACCACAGTCACTGAACCTGCACATTTGTATGTCACACACATGATTATAGGGCGTCGAGTGAGTACCGCGAATGTTAGGGTCACTAAAGTTCATTCTAAGTCTGAGCGTTGCGAAGTATAGGACTCTGGGATGGTGAGATTATTAATTTAAAAAAAAAGATACACTCGGGGGGGGGGGGGGGGGGGTGTAAAGGCAACACCAGGGCAGGGGAAAAAACTGAACTTGGTAGCAAATTTTAGCATTAGCATTTAGAATTTTGATTGCAACGAGAGCTTTCTGCGTAGCGCGTGTTGTGCAGGACTTGTGTGGAATCGGGATCTGTCATGCCTTGTAAGCTGTGTTATTGAACTAAAGGGTTGGCGTGTCATTGGATGGGTGATAGTCGTTTGACCATGGAAAAACTCAGCAAGATAGTCTTTGGAGAGTAGAAGATTGATGGCACTTGGCATACTGAAACCCAGGCTAGAAACAGACTTGTTTTTCTTATGATTTTTGTGACTATATATATGTGTAGACTATAATTAGAGAGAGAGATCTAGACTAGATCCAGCATCATGGGAAAGTGCTACTTCATCAACACTGAGTGGTTGTCCAACCCTAAGTATTCAGAATGATTGATGGAGTATCCAAATGATAAAAGCAAGTTTAGATGAAAATTTTTTCCCCAAGTATTTGTCATCGGTCATTCAGGTGTAAAAGCTTTGAACACTCACATGATACCTCAAAAACACATGAAAGCCCAAACCAGCCAGTGTGGTGCCAAATCTATTCTTAAGGTTACCAAGAACAGAACAAGTGTTGTGAGAGATACTGAAAGGAGCACCAACAGTAATATAATAATAATCAACTAGAGCAGTTGTTGACACAAGTCTTCTCATTCTTGAGATGTTTTCAGGCTGAAAAATAGCTGAGATTTCAGTGTAGTTGCACAAAACGTGGCTACCTTGGAACATTAATTGGGATTGCCCCAGTGATGTAGTCGGCTATCCTAAGATGTGTACGAAATAGCTCCTTCTTCGTGATTCTCTTTGACGAGAGCCGTAACACTGACATTGGCAAAAAGCAACTTGACTTATAGTGGTAGGATTTTTTTTGGTGTGGTAGGATTTTTAGGAAGAAAATTTCCCTGGCCACCCTGAAGGATATTAACCCTATCCATCTGGTGTTTAGCACTTCATTTGGGCGCCTATGGTAAATGCACTTTGCAACAAACAGTTTTTACAGAGGGCACAGAGTGGCTGCCATAACATTGCACGGTTTAGGAATACTATGATTCAAGTCTATACATTGCTTACAGAAGGTAAGAAAGCGAATAAAGTGCACAAAGTAATTTTTGCAATTTTTATATTTCTCGTGTGAGATATCTGCTAATATTTTACATGTGAAATATAAGGATTTATTTTACCAGAAGTGCAATGCTAAAGCAACCCCAAACATGGTATAAAAATGATTTTCATATCTGGTTCAGAGGTTGTAGATTGCTAATGAGAGTATCAGATTATGCACTGGAAACATTCAATAATACTTTGCATAATTCAGGTCATATTAGAGGTGGGCTACCTTGACCCTGTTACAGTCAACCTGTAATAGTATGATTGTGGGTAGTTAATGGATGTTCTAGTGAGGTTTGCTTCTTTTTTCCGATCAATCATCCCACTTTTTTCTGTTTGTTACTTCGGCACTTATATGACCTAATTGTGCTGCAAGTGCTGTAAAGGTCTTATTAAACATGAGTAGGATAAAATATCTAAGGAGAAAGATGGAGAAAACTGACTTCATAAACTTGCTCACATGGGAATTAAACTAGACCTGCATGTTTGCCGACAATCGTCTGAAATCCGAAAATCGCGACCGGACCCGGGAGCCGGCCGATGCTATGGCAAGGCCCACCTGTATTATAGTCAATGTGCATAGTGCGAGGCCTGGCTGACTGCCAGCGCCCCCTTTTTCTCCCGTCGGCTTTGTCGGCACTTTTGTTTTCGTGCCGACGTCGGCGTTTCCGACATAATTGTCGGAATCCGAGTAGAAATGCGAATACGGAAAAGGACGACGACCTAAATTATCTACTTTCAGTTTCGTGCTCGACCGGCCACTTTGAATTTCGTTTGTTGACTAATTCAATTGTTCAGATCATGTGGATACATTCAAGTCCGACTCACTTGTTCTACTAGATCTAGATCTAGATTTATAGATCATTATAGACCTCAATGAAGGATTCATATATATTCCAATTCTATTGTGTCAAACCCTATCATAGGTTTTGCTGTAATATTAATGTTGGTAAAAAGCATTTAATCAGGTGCGTGAATTATTTATTTTTTTAGAATCTAGATCTAGATCTATATGGAGGATTCATATACCAATTCTATTGTGTTATTGTATCAAACCCTAATAGAGCAATGTAGATGTAGGCCATATTATGCTCCTGACCTTGTTTGTTTTGGAGTATGTGTTTTTTTTATAGGTTATATATTTTTTCATTTTGGACTTGTGCTGGCCTTTTTACATGAGGCCCATTGCAGTAGTTTCTTTTTTGAGGTAAGCCTAGGGGTAGGGTTAGGTCTCTTCTTTATTGTGTTTGTTGGGGTAGTCGCTCGTTACTCAGAAGTCCTTCCTTATGACACCCACCAAAGCTCTTGTGGGGGGGGGGGGGGTTTGCGCAAAATTTTTAGACAATCTGGTTGAGGCTCACATGCAGGTCTATTAAACTAACCCTTACATGCAAGGCAAAACAATGATACCCAAGAAGCTGAATCTCTGAGAGTAAATTTAGATTCCATTGTCAATATGTTGATCAGTTTGATTCCATTGTCAATATGTTGATCAGTTATGACTAGGCTGATATTCCCCCCCCCCCCCCCCCCCATTTGATTTCAGTCTGGTGGTTTAGGCTATCAGACTTGTAATCGTGAGGTTGTGGGTCTGGGGGTGTGAGCCTCAGGCCCAACGTTATGTCCTTTGGAAAGGCACTTTACACACAATTTTACTCACTTCACCCAAGTGTGAATGGGTACCTGGCCACAGACAGCGAAAGATCTTGTCAGTGTGTTAGTGTTTTAGCGCCTGTAAAATAGCAGCTTGTACTGTATGTTTTCCTGGAAGATGAGATTGTTTCAGAATGGGATCAGGTCTGCTGGGGTAATGATATAGATTGTAAAGTGCATAGAGCTTACTGTTGAGCGGGAAGTTGTGCTACAGAAATGCTATCTATTCTTACTAAAGATATCACAAATCTAGAAGAGTTAGAAGAAATGTCTTGACCTGATGAATGATTTCACACTTGTATTTCTCCAGCCTGAGACCTGAGCTTCATATTTGTCAGCTGGTGTGGAGGGATGCGAGAACTCTTTTGATTGGATGGGGAGACAGGGTCAAGGTATGAGCTTTGTTTGAGTATATGAATATTGTTGGTAAATAGGTGACTCTGTTTTTTTTGGGTTTTAAAAAAAAAACAAACAGCATTGAGCCCTGGAAATACCAGGAATTTGAATAAAATGGGCCATACCCAAAAATGCACCAAGAATTTGAGGAAATCTGTAAATTAGCATGGGAAAGACCGTGAAAAAATACAGGATGTCTAAAAAAAGAGGGCCCATGTAAAGGACAATAACTTGGTCGCCTCTGTACCAGTTTCAATAAAACTTTGCACAAAAAGATTCAACCAAGGGGACATCAAATCTGTAAACAGAAAGAAAATCTAGTGAAGCGTTAAAGAAATATCGAGTTTGAAATATGGAGTTTTAAAAATGTTAACCAAAATTGAGTAAAAGGCAAAATTTGACATCTTAAAAAATCGACCATAATGTATGTTTGTGTATGATGATAGAACACATTTATTAAAAACTGACATTGCTTTTCAAAAAAAGAAACTGACATTGTTAAATAAAGTCGAGAAAGTTGATGTTTATTTAAATCCTATGCTCCAGGTGTTGACCATTTATTTTCAGACAAATGCAAATTTGCTGCTGAAAATTTTGAACAGACCTGTGGCATGCTTCTGGGTCAATCCATTGGACCTGCTTTTCATTATTGAGTTTTAGCTGTTCTATTGTTTGTGGGTTGTTTACATATACTTCGCTATAGACAGTGAAAGATCTTGTCAGTTTGTTAGTGTTTGAGCGCTTAATCAGCTGCTTGCACTGTATGTATGCTTCCCGGGAAGCTGAGAATGTTTCGGAATGTTCTATGGTCTGCTGGGGTAATAATATAGTGTAAAGTGCATAGAGCCTGCTGTTGAGCGGGGATATGCGCTATACAAATGCTATTTATTATTATTATTATTACTCTTTGAAAAAACAACCCAAAGAAAACAATTGAGCCTGCGTTTCACATCATAATTTACAGAACAAGGACCAAGTGGGCACAGCTTATCAACCAAGCAGCAAAAATTTTGGTCATTTTACTACCTGTTGCACCACAGATAATCCACTCTCTTGAATGTCATCACCTGTCTGTTGTAGACCTCTATGACTCGTTGACACTTTTGTTTTCCACAAAAACCTGAACTTACATCACATGCTGGGTGGGTAGGGCCTTCAAGTCCGCATTGGATGGGATCACATCAAATTGTGAAGTAGTCATGGTTTTGGTTTTCCTGACCATTGCAGTAGTTGTTTTTCTTCATCTCTAGACCCAGATTTGCAAGACAGCCTGAATTTTGATTAGGGCAGTCACAACACAAATGTGCGTAACGACTGGAGTGAGGAATTTGGTTAGAGATGGAAATCTATAAATTCTGGACAGGGATTGGAATTGATGTAGATCTTGGAACTTATGATTGGATAAGTGAAAATGGCATGCTTCATGCCATTGCGAGTGGTCTTCAAGGTTGACCATTCTTTGTTTGACTTAAGTGATAAACCCACCCTAGGGGTCACATCAGTACATTTCAGAGTAAGGGATACCATTTTTCTGACTTTGAGCCTGAATATGAGTCATTGTGGATTCTCCCTTTTGTGCATTGGCTAAGATCCCGCTTACTTATGATTTTGCATTTTCCTTTCTCCCAAGCACCAGGATTTCAGGTGGAAACTACTGTGTATATCTATATTTATATCTATATATGTGTGTGTGTGTGTGTCATGACGCGATGGAATCAGGCACTTGTCAAAATAATGAAATGGAAAAAAATCTACATTTTTCCCACCTGTTAGGCAATTTTAATTGATTTTTTTGTTTTGACTCCACACATCTTATGTCTAATTGAAAACATATTCCTGTGTGGATTTTACTGAAAAATGTTGAGAGGCACAAAACAAAAATATAAATTTGCAGTTTCTAACGATACTTTTTTTTTTTTTGTAACTGCTTTACAGCGCTTGCAACTGCATAAAGTCATATGAGCCCTCGGGACAGACCAAACATTTTCAGTTGGTAGGACATTTTGAATTTTATCCAGGTGGCGGCTGCATCCTACTCTTATAGATTTTAGACCACCAAGAGATCTTGAACGTGCACAATTTGCACACAGGATCTCCGAGATTTTTTGTCCTTGTCCGAGAAGGTTAGGTTAGATCTTTCCTATCAGAAGATCAGGGGTGTGGCTGAAAGACAACAGTAAGAAGGAGCCAAGGAGTATCCATAGAAAGGCTGCAGAAAGAGTCAGGAGCCCAGAGGAGGGTGGAAATATTGGAGCATTGGTAGATACAGGTTGTATGGTCACAGTGGTCAGTTCACAGGTAGTTGGAAATTGCGCGGGCGAGAACTATATGGTAGCTTTTGGTGGTACACGAGTGAAGTGTCAGGGGAAGAAAGAGCTAATCATTGATGTGCGAGGTGTCTCGGTCTCCGTAAATGCAATTGTGTCAGATTCTATTCTGTCTGATATTGATGTGATGCTGGGAATAGATGCCATAACTAGCCTGGGAGGAGTTCAGTCATCCATATGGTATAGACAAGTTCTGTTCTTCATTTTTCTTCTTGGTCATACGAGTTTTTCTAAACGCAAGTGCCAGTCTCACTTTCTTCCCTAATTATTCTTTGCTACAGGTGTAATAAGTGCGATTATTGTCCTTATCAGATCTGTGTTGTCAAGGATTACGGCAGAACTGATGTGAAGGACAATCTTCCTAACAGATACGTGGAGATCAGTGAGTACTTCTCTGTTACAATAAACTAATAAACTTCACACAAGTACACAGTCATAAATGAGAAGGAATATTTCTCTCTTGGTCTTGCTTGAACTCATATCTGGGTTGTTTTTTTTTTTTGGAAAGTGTTTTATGGCGCTCACAACTGCATAAATCATATGAGCGCACGGGACACACCAAACATTTTCAGGTGGTAGGAAATTTTGAATTTTGCCTGGGTAGTGGCTGAAGCCTATTCTTATCGATTTTAGATCACCAAGGGATCTTTGACGTGTGCAATTTGCACACGGAACCTCCAAAATTTTTCGCCCTTGTCCGAGAAGGTTAGGTGTAGATCTTTCCTACCAGAAGATCAAGGATGTGGCTGAAAGACAGCAGTAAAAAGGAGCCAGGGAGTAGCAGTAGAAAGTCTACAGAAAGAGTCAGGAGCCCAGAGGAGGGTGCAAAGGAGGCGAGGGGGTAGGGGCAGGAAGAGGAGACAAAAGCAGACGACAGAACATTGCAAAAAAGCAGAAAAAGAGGTGAAAGGAGACAATTTTAGAGAAGAATATTTTGTTCGGTCGCTGCCTGGATTTGAACCCGGGACCTTTGAATAAGAGGCCAACACCTTAACCTCTAGACCATCTGGGTCTTTCTTTCATTGCTGGAATGTTGTTACACATATACATCTCTTGAATGTATTTCATAAAATTAATTTGTTCTGGGTTTCAGAAATTACCTATTCTATGGTAAGCTGTTATACAGTGGCGTCCAAAAGAAACTTGAAAACCCAGTCATCGTCATTATGTTAAAGCGTCGCACTACCCGAAACCCTATTTTCAGTAAACCAAAGATTAAAGAGAGATGGAAACGCTATTTCCAGGAGCTCCTGAATCCTACAGGAGAAACAACACCAAACAGCTTCTCACCAAAAGAAGCCACTCCAGAACCATCAATACTGCTGAGTGAAACCCAACATTTTATAAAGAAAACCCAACAAAGCGCCAGGCGTTGATAACATCACAGCAGAAGAGATCAAGCTATGCGGCCATATCGGTGAACACTGGCTATGGAGGATTTTTAACCTGGCCTGGGCGACAAAAACAACACCCGATGACTGGCAACGAGCTGTCATTATACCCTTTTTGGAAAAAAAAGGTAACAAAAAAGACTGTGGAACCTACAGAGAAATATCCCTTCCCAGCCACGTGGGCAAAATGTTTGCCAAGACACTGGAAATGAGAATGAGACCTCTTGTAGAGACTTAACTCAGTAATTCCCAGTTTGTCTGGGTAGTGGCTGAAGCCTATTCTTATCGATTTTAGATCACCAAGGGATCTTTAATGTGTGCAACTTGCACACGGACCCTCCAAGATTTTTCAGAAAAAGCAGGGGCTGTACTGACGCTATTTTTGCTTTAAGACAGTTGTGTGGGACTGCCATTGCACATGACAAAGACCTCAATGTCGTCTTCGTGGATCAGGAAAAAAAGTTTGGCAGGGTAGATAGATGTCAACTTTAGGAAGTTTTAGAGGAATTTGGTGTTAGAGGACAATTGCTGGAGAACATCATGGTACTTTATAAAACAGCCTTTGTGCTGTAAGATCAACAGAAGAACTGTCTATCGGACTGGTTCCCCATCAGGTCTGGGGTGAGACAAGGGTGAGGAATGTAAACACCTGAACATGAAAATCTCCATCCCAAAAACAGAAGTTACGAAGGTCAGCAGAAACCCGGGAAAACTCAACATTTTTATTGATGGAACACATCTCCAACAACTAGAGAAATTTAAATATTTGGGAAGCATCTTCACACCAGATGGATGTATGGACAAAGAAAAAGAAACAAGAACTATAAAGGCAGATGCAGTGACCTACCAGCTAGCACCCCTGCTCAGTCACAAGAACACCCCGACCGAATTGAAATCTCATCTCATCAATAGCATCTTCATACCAGCATTAACACACTAGTGCCAAACTTGGTCTCTAAACAAGGCATAAGAAAGAAAAATCAATGTGTGCGAAATGATGTGTCTCCGCAAAACCATCAACGTCACCAGAAGAGACCGCATAAGAAACAAAACCATACATCTAAAAACTGGAATACCGCCAGTAATAAAATTCATAGAGCATCAAAGAGTCAAACGGTTTGGACATCTAACCAGAATGCCCCAGAAACAATTAGCAGCTAGATCTTACAACACCCGAGAATCCGGCTCTAAATCAAGAGGAAGACAAAGAAGGACCTGGCTGGATGGGGTTACATATATCTGTCACAGACACTACACACCTAGCACAGGACCTAAAATTTCACCTCCCCTGGACACCCTAAGGATACCAGAGGAAGGAAAAAGTAAAGGTAAGAAGTATCTACCCACTCGAGCAAAGATTGTGCGAAATCAAAGAAACATAAAAGTGCTTTCGCCCCTTTAATGAGCTGCATCAACATTGGTGGAATTTACATGTATTGAATATCATACGAATCAAGACTTTTATTGTCTTTGCAATTAACAGCATCTTCAGGTGATATTTTCCAACAGATTGGAAAACAGAGTACTCACATAATCCATGCAAGACCTGGTCTTAGCATTAAATGTGCTCATTAGTATTTTGTTTTTGTTCAGGAGCCGTTGGCACGAAACCCTTTCTGAACATGGACTATGTTATTTAGATTTTAGACATTGTCATCTGTCAGTGAAGAACAGAGGCCATGAAACTGCCATGATATGGGGTGGATGGAAAAAAACTGCCCCCATGAGAATCACCAGATGGCTTGGTTTAGGCTGTGTGTCATATCTTACCCTTATTTTCGCCATGGAGTCATTCAAGTTGACATCCCCATGCATGACATTGCATTTTCTCACAGGGTCAATGCCACCAGACAATATTTCATGGAAAACAAAATCATACCAGTGTTGGAGTTTTCACCAGTAAATAGCCCTGATACGAATCATACCAAGTTTTGCAATGTATTTGTTACTGCTTTGTTTTTCCTACTGTTTGGAACTATCATAATTTATTTATTGTTTGTTGCAGAGACAAAGTTCTCCATTCATTTGATATGCAATGTATGTCCATTCTGTCACTATTGATTCACCTCAATACAGGGCTGAAAACACTTTTATGTTTTGTTGATGCACACAATTTTGCCGAGTCTGATTTTTAAAGGTCAATTTTGAGGGACCCTATCTTGGGCGACTCTTAATATTATAATTTAGACAAAATATTAATGTGTCAGATGATGCAGAATTGTTTAGCCGTAACTCTTTAAGCCCTGAGTTTTTTCCACCGTTTCCCAGAGTTTTTTCTAGTCTCCTAAACCTAGTGCACTATTTCTCATTATAACCCTAAAGGCTTGCCTCCAATTTCTAAATGGCGGAAACAAAGGCTCGGTCATTACTAAAAAACTTGGTTCGGGAATAGGTCCAAAAAACAAGCAAAAACTAGCACTAAATAAAACCAAACAGTTGTCACTAGTACTGGACGCTCCCAGTGTCGGATGGGAACAAGGTTATTACCGCCGGACGCTCCCAGCGTCCGATGGGGTTCAAAGAGTTAATTGGTATGCAGCATGAGTGGGTAGCAAATCAAAAGGCTGCAACACAATGACTGGATGATTACATTTTCAAGTTTCTTTTGGACCTCTCTGTAATAAATCAAATGAAGTGTATTTATTTCTTGCAAAAAATTGTCTAAAATGAAATGTGAGTTGCTAGGCATCATGATCAAATCAGGCGCTCATCAGGGTCAAATAATGGAATCGAAGATAGTGGCATTTTCCCGTCGGTTTGTCTATTTTTATCGAATAGTTTTTTGTTTTTTTTAGCTCAACACCTTTTATGTCTATTTAAAAACACAATTTTGTTTGGATTTTACTGAAAAACCTTGATTAAAGGCACACAAAATGTAAATTTTCAGTTTCCAAGGACTCTCAACCTTTGAAAATCCTCAAAACTTTGGGTAGCGGCTATTTTTCGCTAACTGTACCTCTGAAATCAGGCGATCCCACCTGGTTCAATCGCAAATATCACGACTTCTATTCAAGATAGATAGGCTTTTTTTTCCATCAACAGATAGACAAATGAACAAAGTTTTAAGAGGATACCAATAACTCCACATGTCCAAAAATTGATGAGCGCCTGATTCCACCACGTTGTAACACTAACAGTACTGGGTGACAAAAGTGTTGTGAACATCATTTAAAAAAGAACTCTGTGATTTACATGACAAATAAAATATTTTAAAAACTCATGCTCAGTGCTTTCGCAATATTTGTTTTCTCAAGAAAGCTGTTTTTCCAGTGTATTAGCTTCTTTTGGTAAATGCTATGGAAATGCGTTGTTTGCTGTTGTATTGTAGTAAAAAAAAGTAATTTCCACTTTATGGATCCCATTGTACAGTGCACGGTGGTTTGTTTTGCAAACACTGGAGAAATATTTAAGGAAAAATGAAACTTTTGCCCTCCAGAATTTACTAGAGCTACTATGCACATCAGGGTGGCATTGATGTCATGCACGAAGGACACTTTTAAATTATTTTGAGAAGGGAGGGTGGGAATTTACTTATACCAGATATCATTTGATTGCTGCCTTTATTGGTGTGACATATTAGGACTGCTAATAGCAGCCACAACCCTCAGAAATCCGGTACACAGGACTGCAGGGTAGGCTGCCTAAGAATGCAGTGCTTTTTAAAAATGATATATTCCTTTTTAATTCTCCCTCTTCTTCAGCTACCAGTTTTTTTATTTCATAATGCTTACTATTTTATTGTTTCTTGTCTTCAGTTGCCATGTTCACAACTGACTTCTTTGTCTGTGGTATTGCTCCTTTGGCTACCAATTTGGTTGTTCTTTCTTACGACAAAATTGGGCAAAAACAAGAGGTGAGTTTTCGTTTCATTTAAAAGATTCATGGTAATTTAATTGAAGTTAGTTTTCATTTTTGTTGTTGTTGTTAGTCAGAATGTTTGAGCGTGTGCCCGTAAGCCCAATTGTATGTTACAAAAGAGGGAAGTCTTTGACATTTCTTCTTCTTTGCTGCAGTATAGGGTAGGTGCTCTGTGGTAGGGAAAGGAGGAAAAAGTTGCCTTCAGAGATCCTGTAGTTTAGAATTTTAAGAGCTGATATTTGGCTGTTTTGTGGACCTAGTGACAAAGCTAGTACATTGATGTTTTTTTCTTGGTCTATTATTGTTTGTTCTCTTCTATTGAGGAATTTTCTGAAGATGGTGTCTAATGAGGATACCAAGAAACAGCAAAGAATATAAACATAGGCTTGAGAAGAGTTAGGAGTAAATTCGAATCATAAGGTACCAAAGGCAATAGCGTGTTGTGTTGTGTGTGTGCTCTCAAGTGTTTATTCACATCGTGTCATTACGCGTGTGGTATGAATTCTTCTTTCGCCCCCTCTTCTCTCCCCCCCCCCTCTTCTATCCCTTCTTCTTCCA